CAGAAATAAAGGAATGATAAATTATGGGGACAAAAAAAAATGAGTTAGAGAAACATACTTTCAAAACTTAATTATTTGAGTTGGACGCTTCAACTCAAAAAAGTGAAGGGAATCGGTTGCCTTGACTTTTTGAGTTGAGATAGCAAATTTTTTTTTAGAGTGTAGTCTCTCTCTTTCTGGTCCCGCTCTATGGTCTCTCTCTCATCTCTCTCCCTGGCCTCATTCTGGTCTCTCTCAGGTCTCTCTTTGGTCTCTCTCTCTGGTCTCTCTCTCTCTGGTCTTTCTCCCTGGTATTCCTCTCTGGTCTCTCTCCTTAATAACATTAATTGTTTTCTGATATTGCTGACAGAAGCACTTCCTCTTTCTGTCAAGACGTTAAAACGCACAGTCAAGTACAACTACCACGCATGTGCACACACTCTGAGCCCCTCCCTCTCTCTCTCTCCCTCGCTGTACAGCCACCACGCATGAGTACACGCTCCACCTATCCCTCTCCTCCCGCTCTCTGGTGCGTGCGTGTGTGTGTGTGTGTGCGTGCAGCCGCCACGCATGCGCACAGGTTCCTCTAGGACTGAGAGAAGGAGATGAGGATTGAGAGGAGAGGAGAGGAGCAGATGCTGATTGTGATTTTGGACGCAGCCTTTGTGTCAGCTGTTCGCGGAGGTTACTTTAGTTCAGGGGGCAGGGCTTCGTGCACAGGAGATAGCGCTGGACCAATCACAGCGCACAACGAGCAGCTCATAGGAAGAATAGACATTTCTGACAGATGTGGATCCAACACCGTGGTCCTGATGCAATATTATGTATGAGCATTATTAGGTTTGTTAAATATTAGCTATTTGCAATATTAGGGATTTGCAATATTAGGGATTTGCAATATTAGGTCTGATCCATTTTAGGTTTGTTTAATATAAAATATGTGCAATATTAGATCTTCAGTATGTGCAATATTAGGTTTGTTTATTATTAGGGATGTCCAATATTAACGATGTGCTACATTAGGTCTGAGCAATATTGGGTTCGTTTAATATTAGGTATGTGCAAAATTAGGTATGTGAAAAAATATGTATGTGCCATATTAGGTATATACAATATTAGGTATGTGTAAATATTAGGTCTGAGCAATATTAGTTCAGAAAAATATTTGATGTTTGATATTAGGCATGTGCAATATTAGGTGTGTGCAATATAAGGCATGTGCAATATTAGGTGTGTGCAATATCAGGTATATACAATACTAGGTATGTGCAATGTTAGGTATGTGCAATATTAGGTATGTGCAGTATTAGGTATGTGCAATAGTAGGTGTGTTCAATATTAGTTATGTGCAATATTATATATATGCAATATTAGGTACGTGAAAAAATATGAATGTACAATATTAGCTATGTGCAATATTATGTATATACAATATTAGGTCTGAGCAATATTAGTTCTGAGAAATATTAGGTGTGTTTGATATTAGGCATGTGCAATATTAGGTATTTTCAATATTAGATATATGCAATATTAGGTATGTGCAAAATCAGGTAAAAACAATATTAGGTAAGTGCAATATTAGTTATGTGCAATATTAGGTATGTGCCATATTAGGTATGTGCAATAAGAGGTAAATACAAAATTAGCTCGATATATTACATCTATTAAAGGAATAGGCCACCGTTTTTACATACTGACATATGTTCTTACCTTACCTTAGACTAGTTGATATGTACCTGCGCTTGCCTGGCCTGCCAGACACTCCTCCTTTCTGTTCAAAAGAAGAACCGTCTGGACACCTCTTCCTAGCCTATCATTTCACGATTTTACCCACATCGGTCCAATCACGCACCGAGAGGCGGGACTTCCTTTCACCTTTGAGTTGCTAATAACTCCTCGTATCTTTAAGTTTTTGTTACAAAATTGACAGCAGTCGTTTACATTTGCACTAGCTGACATGCCGCCATCCCTTGTTTTGTGTTTACTGAAACGGCTTGGGTGCCGCTAGTTGCTGCGTCATATCCTGTGTGCATCTAATTGGTTGATGCAGTCTGTCAACCACGCCCACCGGGAATTCGCTGAGATCAAGCTCGTTCCCAGACTATATGTCTTTGAAAAAGCATATCGTTTGGCAGGCCAGGCAATACCTGCGCACTAACACCAACAAGTCACGCTGCTTCTATTGACGGAAGTGAGCGGGAGTGAATGGGTGTTAGTGCGCGGACATAGCGCTCCTCGTATTATTACGCCTCACATTATAGTACCCTTTTTTATCCGCTGAGAAAATCGACATGTTACATTTCTGTGTTACTATACTTTGTAGTGTAACACGTCACGTAACTGTATTTAAATAGGGAACACGTGGAAGAGTTTGGTAGCTTCTAACGGGAGCTGATTTGGTACTATACAGACTGTGGAAGAGGCTGCGTTTGTGCTCCGTTTGCAAGACAGAGCGCACGGACAAAGATCACACATGTACATATCAACTAGTCTAAGGTAAGGTAAGAACATATGTCAGTATGTAAAAATGGTGGCCTATTCCTTTAATGTGGTCTATGTATGCACTCTCCAAGTCATTGTATCTCCTGTAAGAAAACTATGCATAACGTTTTCCTTTCCTCCTTTTGTAACAAACAAAATAGAACATATTTTATTTAAATACTTCTGGTTTATTCTAATTACGAGTGGGAACAAGTACAAAGTCTGACTAAGCTGTAGTAAATATAAAACAGGTTTTCTCAGTGAAGTTTGCATGTACTCCCTGTGGCTGCTCCGGTTTCCTCCAGGTAATTCAGTTTCCTCCAGGTTCTCCGGTTTCCTCCAGGTGCTCTGGTTTCCCTACCACTAAAAAACATGTACAACAGCTAAAATCCTGCAGCTCTGGACCTGAAAAGAATCACCATCTGGAGATGGTCTTACTACGGCGACCACTGCAGCTGACAGAGGCCCAGGTGCAGGACGGGTCAAATGCAGGGGACACAGCCTCAGTCCTGGATCCACAGCCTCAGTAATGGATCTATAGCCTCAGTCCTGTATCTACATTCTCGGTCCTGGATCTAGAGCTTTAGTCCTGGATCTACAGCCTCAGTCCTGGATCTACAGCCTCGGTCCTGGATCTACAGCCTCAGTCCTGGATCTACAGCCTCAGGATCTACAGCCTCAGTCCTGGATCTACAGCTTCAATCCTGGGTCTATAGCCTCAGTCCTGGATCCTCGTCCGTGTATATTTGAGTGAAACACAAGGATAGGACTGGAGCTAATGTTTGTTTTTGTGAACGTGGACTGTTCAAACTCATGGGAGAATTTAGAGCAGATTATCTCTGTGCAAAGACCTTGTGCGTCTCCTGCACCGTCACATCCACAAAACAACAGTTATCACAGTGATGAATTGATATCACTCACTCTCTGGTCTCTCTCTGGTCTCTCTCTGGTCTCTCTCTCTGGTCTCTCTCCGGTCTCTCTCTGGCCTCGCTCTGGTCTTTCTCTCTGGTCTCTATTTTCGATTTTTTTCACTCTCTGTGTTACACCTCTTTTATTATTATTTTCAAGATAGAGATTTTACACTTTTTATTGATGCCAGTGTTAGAGATTTGGTTTTATTTTAACGAGTGTAGCTATTGTTCACTTAACTTGTGCCGTGTGCTCCTCTTTCCTATTGTTCTATAACTTGTGATGCAACCCTGAAATTTCCCTGCTGTGGGATGAATAAAGAATCTCTTAATCTTAACTCTTTCTGGTCTCTGTCTCTCTCTCTGCTCTCTCTCTCTGGTGTATCTCTCTGTCTGTGGTCTCTCTTTCTGTCGTTCTCTCTCTCTGGTGCATCTCTCTTTCTCCGCTCTCTCTCTATGATTTCTTCTGGTCTCTCTCTCTCTGTTCTCTCTATCTCTCTGGTGTATCTCTCTTTCTCTGCTGTCTCTCTCTGGTCTCTTTCTCTGTGGCCTCTCTGTCTTTCTCTCTGTCTCTCTGGTCACTCTCTCTCTGTGATCTCTCTCTTTTTTCTCTCTCTCTTTCTGTCTGTTTTGGTCTTTTTTTTTCAAACATGTATTTATTGAAATTTTACAGTTTAAAAAAAATGAACACAAGGCACTTTCACAACAAGGATGTGGTGTCTACACAAGTATTGGCTAAAATAAATATAAACGAATGATCAAATCAAATGAAAATACAATTTACCCTAGTTTGCATCAGTCCAACCATCAACTGAGATATTGTTATTCCTAAGAAAGCCATAGAAAATATTCCACATTTGTAGAAAATTGTCGAGTTTGTTTTAACTGACACAGCTTATTTTTTCTAAAACTAAATATAAAACCATGCCTTTCAACCACTGTGCAACAGTGTCTCTTTGGCCTTACTCTCCTTGGTCTCTCTGGTCTCTCTCTCTCTCTCTCTGTGTGTGATATGTTGTGGATTATTTGTTTATTTAACATCAGCTCTCTGTTGGTGTCCTCTTAGTTTTACTTCCTGTTCTCCAGTGTCCGCCCTCTCATGTTTCACCTGTGTCCACCATGCACCAGGTGCAACTCCGCATCTGTTGCTGGTCCATTGTCACTGTCTGTCCATGTTCCGGATCTGTTTAGATCTTTGAATTTGTTCTTGAACTTGGACTTATATTTATGACTTGATTAAATCCTTTTTTTGTGGCATTTCTGCAGTTTTGGTCCTTCCTTCTTTTCACCACATGACACACTGGTATCTTTCCCTGCGTGGTCTCTCTCTGTTCTCTCTCTCTAGTGTCTCTTTGGTCTCTTTCTCTGTCTTTATAGACTATCTCTCTGGTCACTCTCTCTGGCCTCTCATTGGTCTTTCCCTGGTCTCTCTCTCGTCTCTCCCATGTTTCTCTCAGATCTCTCTCTCTGGTCTCTCCCTTGTCTCTCTCTGGTCTTTTTCGCTGGTCTCTCTCTGGTCTCTCACTGGTCTCTCCCTTGTCTCTTCCTGGCCTCTCGCTGGTCTCTCTCTGGTCTCTGGTCTCTAACATGATGATTTTGGTGACGGGGAGGAGGTGCACAAACAGCAGCTGGATGCAGGGAATGAGAGGCTCTACGCTGAGGTCAGTGTGGAGGAGAGAGAGCTCTGAGGACCCAGTCTGAATCTCCCATCTCCTCTGCCAGAGCGAGAGTTGTTTTGTAGCAGAAAATGGGCAAAACTGTCAATCTCTAGATGTGCAAAAATTATAGCGACATCCGCCATTAGAGAAAAGGGGCGTGTCTTTATGTCTGTACATGCAGGTAAACAGACTACAGGTGAACGTGTAGCTCTCCCAGTCTCACCTGGTCTTCACCTGGTCCTCACCTGGTCCTCACCTGTTCTTCTGCTCCCAGGCCACATTGTCTGCTGCGCATCCTACACCTATCTCGCTCAACAGAACGTAAAAGCATCGGACCACCGGCTTGTCTCCTCCTCCTCTTTCTCCTCCCTCCCTCCCTCCTCCCCCGCTGCGTCTCTGCCTCCCCCTCTCTCCCCTGTCTCCTCCCCCGCCTCTTCACCCTAATCTCTCGCTGGCTTGGTGCAGTCACTGGTGCAGGGAACCACGCTGGCTCAATGAAAAAGACATGCTGGCATTTGTCTTGGTCTCTGGCTCGGTGTGGATCCTGTTAGGTGAGTGCACGCGCGCCCGGACGCTCTTTTTGGTGCAGTGATGTCGCATGTTTTCCTCTGATGCCGACGCGCACCTGCTACGACATCTTGCAGCCGGCTTCTCTCCGTAGCGTGACTTTGCCTCCTTCAGGGCCTCCTCATAGTGACAGCACACTTCCTATATGTGACCGCGTTCGCTTTTCATGTCTTCCTCTTTCGCCTCGCGCAGTGTTTGACGTGTGTTTGCACCATTTTACACGCGTTTTGTTCGTGTATGTGTGTGTGTGTTTTGGTGCGTTTGTCACCTAGAGTGTCAGAGATGCTCCATGGTTCTGTCTTTATCCACAGCGCTGAGGATATGTATATGTGTGCAGGAAGACGCCAAAGAGATGCGTCTATGTCTATGTGTGTGTGTCTGTGTGTGTGAGAGATGGTCAGACTGTGAGGGACGTGTAGAGGTCCTAGTGTGTGTGTGTGAGGTCGTTGACATTGTGGACGTGGAGAGTTTGAACACGGACATTTGGAGCTGTTTCTGGGGTTTATTCCTAGTCTGTTCTTTGAGGCTATATTGGTGGGTCCATTTCGGAGCGTGTTTGTGCGTCTGCTTTTGTCAGCAGAATGACTGGACTGTGTGTGAGTGATGCTTAGACGCGGCCGCACCGGTGAGAGCACGTCATGTCCTCCAGCGTGCATGATGGAGGCTTTGGAGAGAGCTGACGTAGGAGTGGGGGATGCTGGGCCCTGATTGGTGCGTGAGGAGCTGTCCAGTGCTGAAATCCTGCACACGTCTCTTCACTCCTCCCCCCCCGCGCAGACGCAGAGGGCTATTCCAGGGCGTTGACTTTTACTCGACTTTTAAAACATGGAAAGCAGCGGTGGAGACAGCAGCTGCAGAGCGGCGCAGCAGGAGCCGAGTCCGGGTTAGACTGGATCCACGGGATTTGGACCAGTATAGCATTGTTTTCCGGACGTCTCTCGTGTTAGAATAGGTCTCTCTCTGGTCTCTCTCTGGACTCTTTCTGGTCTCTCTCTGGTCTCTCTAATCTCTTTCTGGTCTTTCTGTTCTCTTTCTGTTCTCTCTGGTCTCTCTCTGGTCTCGCTCTGGTCTCTCTGGTCTCTTTCTGCTCTTTCTGGTCTCTCTCTGGTCTCTCTGATCTGGCCGTGCTTATTATTACAGATAACCTTTTGGCTAAAACAAGACTCTTTCAATTGGAGCAAACCAAATACATTCATGAAACAGAAAAGTTAAAAACAGATTGGAGCAGCAGCTGCAGTCAGAGCTCTAGTCCCCTCCCTCACCTCTGGTCATGAGCTTTGGGTAATGACCGAAAGATCGTGGATACACACGAGTTTCACTCGAGTTACACACAAGTTTTCTTAGAGATAGGGAAAGGAGCTTGAGAGACCAGGGGGAGACCCAGGACCCAGAGGGACTAGGTCTCTGCTCAGACTGCTGCCTCCGCCACCCGGCAACAGATAAAATGGAAGAAAATGGATGCACAAACCATGCGGTACTTCAGTGGTTTAAATTTTTACTTGAGTACATGCAGTACTCCTCTATCAGCAGAGAACAGAGACAGATAAAGCTGAGCTCCGTGGGCGTTACCGCGGTTACAGACAGCTGCTGATAGTACAAGGTCTGTCTGGACTGGGTCAGGTCTGGACCAGGTCTGGACCGGCTTAGTTCTGGACCGGCTCAGTTCTGGACCGGCTCAGGTCTGGACTGGCTCAGGTCTGGACTGGCTCAGGTCTGGACTGGCTCAAGTCTGGACTGGCTCAGGTCTGGACCGGCTCAGGTCCAAGGAGAGAGAGTCTCTCTCCTGTTACATTATTCAGACTCAGGTAAAACGAGCCTTTCTCCTGCTCAATGTTTCATATGAAGAAAAGAGACCAGACCAGACCAGACCAGACCAGGACCAGGACCAGGACAAGACCAGGACCAGACCAGGACCAGACCAGACCAGACCAGGACCAGATCAGTCCAGGACCAGATTAGTCCAGGACCAGACCAGGACCTTGGAGAAAAATGCCATAGAATGTTGGTTGCTAAGCGACTGAAAATGCAACATTTGAATGTTTCCTTTAAAGAAGCATCAAATCGACTCCGGACTTAAAGATGCAGTCAGTGATATTTTCCAGACAATTTTTTTTTTTAAACATTGTGGGTAAACATCCCTAAACCCTTAAAAGTATCAAGTTATCATGTGTTTTCAAATAGTAATGGAATTGACCAGATGCCTATAGTCTACAAAAATTAATAAAACATATATTGGAGCTGACTCATAAAAATAAACCAATGGGATGCGTCCACCCCCTTCACCCTCTTCCTGTTTCTCGCGAGTGCACCTGAGTTATCGGACTTTCTAAAACCTTAAATGGCTGAACAGAAAATGCCAATTTCACACTTGCCTCCCACTCTCCCTGTTGTGACAAAGAAAAGAAAATGCTGGATGTTTGATTTGGTGGAGAGGCGAGGGGAGGGGGGAGTGGTTTCCAGTTGGTGCTACGGCTAAGCTAACAAAATCGCTTACTGCATCTTTTTTAATTATGGTAAAAAAGTTACTATAGCCCTAAATCTCGGAGGACTTTATGAAGTTGTCGGTTTGCCAACACAGATCAGAAAATCAAACTGTTCAAACACAAGAAATGTAATAACAAAAAACACATAGATGCATTAGTCCATAAGGAGCCTCCTGCATCAGAGAGAAACAACTCTAAAAACCCAGTTGGAGGAAGTGAGAAACCTCAATGAGATCCATATGAGGGAGGCTGTAGACCCAGGACTGATGCTGTAGACCCAGGACTTAGACTGTAGACCCAGGACTGAGGATGTAGATCCAGGACTGAGGCTGTAGACCCAGGACTGAGGCTTTAGACCCAGGACTGAGGCTGTAGACCCAGGACTGAGGCTATAGACGCAGGACCAGGAAGTGAGGTTAGTCCATGGAGAGTTCTCCAACACACAGTTCAGTTTGTGATTTGCCTGGGTACATGCAAATGTGGTGTGTGTTTGTGCATGTGTGTGTGTGTTGCTTCATCTGTTCCTAATCTCACACCAGGTTAATCACAAGAGATGGGTCGATGGGCAAAGCTTAACAGAGCTGCACTAATGTGTGTGAGACCAGAGAGAGGCCAGAGAGAGACCAGAGAGAGGCAAGAGAGAGACCAGAGAGAGAACAGAGAAACCAGGGGGAGGCTATGTTATTCATCACATGATCATGGGGGCGTGGCTTATATATTACAAACACCCAGTCGTTTATGCTTGAGGTCCTGGGTTCGATTCTTTTAATGCTGTAATTTGCAGTCAATCCTGACAAAATCACATGGACAAAAGTCGTAGTTTAGGCATTATTTAATACTTGGTTGCCTTTCCAAGGAGACATGTCTTAAGTGGAAGAGCACCACCAGCTCAGCCTCCTTCCAGAAACATGTCTGACCTCAGTCAGGCTGCAAAGCAGTATAGCAGGAGATAAGACACACGTTCCACAGGAAGAGGAACCAACAGACAACAAAAGGACAATGTGACAAGGCCTTCCCCATTAGCATCCTTAAAGCCTGCTCCCCTCCATGTGGGCTCCCTCAGACCTCCGGGCACAAAAGTGAATTTTAGCATAGAGTATATAATTTAGCCACACATGATTTACCAAAATGATAACTGAAGTTACATTCCAATGTCATAATCCCTCCTATTTATCATTTTGATAAATCAAACAATCTACAGTATGCTTAAACATGGAGAACATGGATGATTTAAAATAAAAAACACACATAAAAACTCAAAGAAAAATGTTTCATAGTATAGCAAAGGAAGGTTTCTCACCCATCATCTGTACTTCTTAGCATGTTTTCCTGACGTTTTGTCCTCAATCCAAAGGACTTCTTCAGGGAATTAATTCTCAGACCACGCGTTGAAGATTTATAACCTATATCCTGATACTAAATTATAAACAATTTAAGGTCTCTTTGATGTAGAGGGGAGCAGGTCTAACGACCCTGCTGAGGCTAACGACCCTAACTCATTAGCATGTCACAGACCTATTGTCTGCTGGGATTGCTCAAGTGGAGTGCAGGTCTCACCCCTCCTAACTCATTAGCATGTCACTGACCTTGTCCCAAGTTAGGGCGTTGTTTTTAGGATGTCGTCATAGATGCGAGGCAAAACAAATCTTAACCCTCCTCCTCTGTTAAGAGAAGGTTTTTGTTTCTTCACAAAAATGGCTTCTTTCACTCCTCTCTCAAACCAATTCTTCTCCCGAGCTGGAATTTTAACCTCTGTGTCATCCACCGTGTGGTTGGAGGCCTTGAGGTGGAGGTGAACAGCCAACTGTGGCCCACTAGAGTTTTCTCTACGATGTTGGTAAAGTCGTTTCTGTAGAGTTTGTTTGGTTTCTCCAATATAGTGGTCAGTGCACTCCTCTTCACTACATTTAATTGAATACACCACATTGCTCTGCTTGTGTCTGGGTGTTTTGTCTTTGGAATGCACTAATTTCTGTCTTAACGTGTTGAAAGGTTTGAAATACTGAAGAAGATGACATAGTCTGAGATCGCGTCTTTAATTCAGACAGAAGACATGTTTTATTGTCGATGGTAGAGACAGCACGAACAAAGCACACGATCACAGATACAATAGAATGCAAGTGTATTATACAGAGCAGAGGCATGGAGACCTCCAATCAGCAGCTTCCACGGTGTGCTTGTAGCTTGGCCTTCAGATAGACAAAACAAGGGAAAAGTACTGGCTTCTGCACATTGATAGATTGATGAGTTTAACTTTAACAAAAGTTAATTCAAAGTGTTATGAAATCTCACATTCCCCCCTCTGGTCATACATTCACGTGTGACCATCAGGATCGATAAACAGCAACATAACATCATAACTCAATACTTCAAAAACTCATAAACTCGGTACTTCACTCGGTACCTCAAAAAACTCAGAACTCGGAATACTTCAAAAACTCATAAAACATGTTCGGATCTTTCATAAAACTTGTCAACAATCTTCAGTAAAATACCAAACT